TTTTGGACTAAATGTTTGCAGTGCCCTTCCATGAGCAGGATTTGGACCCTATCCTATTTTCAAGCCTTCTTCTCTTACAAGTTTATAAATACTAGAYAGTTTAACAAGACTGTCATTTTGCATTTTTTTCCGTAGTTTCTCAAAGGTGAAATTTATAGATGAATTAAGCCTCAAATTAGAAAAACAGTGATTYCGGTTTGGGAATGAAGATCATTAGAAGTTTTGGCACTTCCTAATCTGGCAGAAAGTCTTCCTGTTCCCTTCTGACGTTGCTCCCCACTATCCCTGTGCTCTCTGGCACCAGCGCTGAAGCTGAAGGTTTCTGTCTGCACAGGAAGTAACTATCCATCATACTTCAAATGTGGAATTTTGCAGTTCTTATCATTAGCATGTAAAATTCCCTGGAAAATTATTATGAAATCATGAGGAGGAAAGAGGGAGAGGGAAAAMAAATGGAATACTTGTCTAATCTAAGCAACAGTTGGAACTGTGAAATGTGAAAAGGTTGCAGATGCTCTGTAGCAGTCATGAGCTTTTCAGAAACCATAATTTGGGCACTATTTTGTCAAAAGATGCTGTGATAAACAGGGCACAAATGATGAAATGCTGCTTGCCTGCTTCATTTGGGCAGTCAGACCAAAGACTATGTAGCTCTCTTTTTTCCCAAGTGCAMAGCAGCAAGAATATGTCAACAGCATACAAATGCGGGCATGTCCGGTCAGTTTTCTTATATATATTTCTTACTATGTATTATTTACATTAAAACCAGTAGGAAAATTGTTTAGTTTTATGCTCCTGAGAGGTTAATTGTGCATGAAACTAGTGAATCTTGTCTTTCATTAGCAAGACTGTGCAGATCTTAAATTTCCCAGGAATAATGCATTCCCATCAAGGTTTCCCAGATTCCAAAAGCAGAAAAGGGGGAAACACCACCAAAATAAACAGATTTGACAGTTTATTGTTGAGTAAGCCCATGTAAATYGATGTAAATGGATTGAATTATGAATGGATACTCTCAGAAACACTAATATACGTTAAGATGACATTTAAAAAATGTGGTGTAAAATGTAAAAGTAATATTTGCAGCAACAGCTATTGTAGACTCTCTCCTTTCTTGAAACTCTGTGTAACCCAGTACTTAAGAAGATGACAGAAGATTCATTTATAATCAGATGTGGAGAAGTTAACAAAGTTGACTAAGTGCCTTTTTGAGACTCTAAACTGCCAACAGTCTCTCCTCTTTCTGAAACTGAGCTACCAAATGATTTGTGCAAAATCCAGGAAGTTTGCTGCTCTTGTAAATCTACACAGTTCACGGAGCCATTGTCAATGCAAATTAATGTTTCTTTCAGTTTGTAACCTTTTTGGAAGAGTCTGAGCCTATCTTCTGAAATGAACCTGGAAAAGTATTTGGGAGCATAAATCTTGTAGAGTGAATTGCCATTTCTCTATGTATATATTTAAACTTAAATACTCTACATAATATTTCTCCTTTCACAGAGAACCAAGAGAAGTAAATTGTTCTTAAATTTCCCTCCATTTCTGTTACCATCTGCCCAGCTTTGCCTTCCTGCTTATCTTTTTCTTTTCACTCCAGTTTTATTTCCTCCTGATGTTTATATCATTGCATAACATTGGTGATTCTCCTTTACTCCTATTTTTGCATGTCTTCTCATTGTATATTTCTCATTATTCTTCCCAAATCACTAAAACAGACTTCTTTTCTGTCTTGCAGAATCAGCCTGTGTAGAGCCAGTGCATGTGCTGAGTGATTTCCAGAAACACTAAACTCAGTGGAGTCATCGAAAAGTAATGAAGCTTAAGTGTCTACAAGATCTTTAGTATTTTATTGTCTTGGAAGGGAAGCCACATTCCTGGTAAGGAGGTTCTTGTCAAGAAGATACCATGTCTCAAGGAGACAATTCAGTAGTACAACAATTTGTGTGTTACTAGATTCTTAAGCAGAATATAATGAATCATGAAAACAGCTCTGGCTGCTGCTCTGGAAACAGAACTGAACACAGCAATCCTCTGCTGCATATAAAACATTATAGAAATGATCTTGTCAGGATGATTCAATTAATCATAGAGTGTCTCTTTTAAGATTTGAAGGTCTAAACTCTGTTGTTTGTGCATATACAGTAAACAGAGCTGCTTGAGGCWTTGGATGCAGTAAAATTTGTAGAAATACCTGTGAGCAGGTTAAAAAAAAAGCAGCTGCCAAGTGAAACAAATATGTATCAGTATATCACAAAAAAAAGGTGCTATGGATTTTGAAGACCTAGAAAGATTCTTTTTTTTTTTTTAATATGGAGAATTCATGGAGATAATTCTCCATAATTCATGGAGAATTTGAATCGACTGCATTTGCAAATGAGTGTTGATCTGTAGCTCTGCCATTACACTTCTGCAGTGCCACAATGGCTGAGAGAGACATTGTTAGGCTGCTGCAGGTGGCCAAATGTATTGGGAAAGAGGCATTTCCCTGGAACTTTTAAGTCAGAATTTTTTTGAAGTGCATAGTGTAAATTATCGCAGAAATGCTTGTAGCGCCTTTGTGTGCCGATGCAGGTTTTTCAGTGTGTTTTTCAGTTGTCATCATAAATATAACTGAAAATTCATCACTGTTAACTGYTTCAGTTGACTATGAGAAGACTTATTACCATTCTTTAGCTCTGCATTTTTTTTTAGACAACTCTAATGTATTCCTGCATGTTAAAAGTTGCCAGCACCATTGGCAAGAGTTAAAGATGAACATGAAGGAGTCATACTTTTCTAGATACGATTAGTTTTGGCACAGTGCTTATTCCCATGGCTGGGCCCTGTGTGCGCTGCTGTTCTTGTCAGGCTCATTATGTGTGTTTTCTCTTTCCAAGGCATTGTATCTTGACTGTGAAACAGTCTCAGATTTGGCAAAAAAATGCTCCGAATCTAGCAGCATGCTGTTTTCCAGGAATAATGTGTTCCTTTTAAGGCAGGGAAAGGATTTGGATTGTAAAGAGGTTCATTTTATTTTATAACACAAATCTGGATTTACATTTTGAAATGTCGCAATTCGTAAGTAGCTGCTTAGGAGCGACCTCGATGCTCACTAAGTAATTTATATATCACATATGTGAGATTTCAAGCTGTTTTTTAAATGTTAAAATTATAATAGCTTTAAAAGTTCAATGCTCTTAAGATGACTGTTGACCGTGTGTTTTCCTTTCCAGGTAGCAGTAATGATAATACATGAAAAATTTAAGCTGTTTTCACCTGTACCTTGGCTAAGGAATAATATATATAATATATATAACTGCCAAGATGGCTGTGCGAGGAAAGTGATGTAAACCTATTCTAAATTATAYTGTATTTACACAGACAGAAATTCCTTTGTTGGATTAAATTGCATTTGCACTGCACAATTTGCACAATAAGAAATTAATTTTTTTTCCAACTTTGGAGATAAATAGACATTTATTTGCAAAAGCAAAATCCACAATTGTCAGAGCAGATTTGTGGTAAAAGTGGACTATTTCAGCCCTGAGTTTATTGTGGTAATGTCAAGATTGTTGCAAATGACCACCTGTGGCTTCAGTACACCAATCCACGGTTTGTATTTTAGCATAATTTATTTTGCTTTTCATGATACTGACATTATGGCTAGTCAGGGCCAAAGACCCTTTCATCTAATGATAATACTGAASAGAGGATGTGGTTTTATGGCAATTTAAGAAGCAATAAAATGCCCAGAAATATCGATTTACAGGAAGACTTCGAATTTTGTTGACTCTTAAMAGATTTTGATTTAACATGATAGGGAGTCCATAGTCCTGGAGGCTGAAGTTCTGGTTACTTAGAAATGAATTTTGGGAGAGATGCCCTCCTAATTTCATGCTTTCAGTAACTACCAGGACTTGGGAGCAGTCGTCTCTCTCTGCCCAATGCGTTTGCAGCTGTGAAGCTACCAGCCTAGGTAGCTGCTGTAGGGTAAACCATGATTACCTAGTCACTATCTGGCAGGCCTGCTGTGAAACCAGTTTCAAGATAGTAAACTGGTTATATTTTCCTTTCATTTAGAGCGGCCTTGAGCTATTAAATAATCTGCTGAGGAATAAGGAATTGCATATTGCAGTAGTTCTTATTTCAGTCAAATCTTGCTTAATTATGGTACAGGCTTCAAGCCAACTGGATTTGTGATTTAACATGTCAATGAATCATTTTTATTAGATGATTAAATTACTGCAGTGAATTTCAGAACTTTGTTACTCCAATTAAATATGATCTTTTAAAAGTTAAGGGTTTGAGCGTGTGTTGCTTTGTTATTCAAAGCCATTTGGAAAGAGTTTTTCATCATTTCATGTCTAATACAGTTTGATTTCGGTTTTGTTTGTTTTTTAAGAGGCAGTAGTACATTTTTGTCTTCCAGACTGAAAGTATGGAAAGAAATCCCCTCCTCTCTTTTTTTTTTTTTGCTAAGTAAGATAATTTGACTGATAACCTTTGTATAGTTCAGGGATTTAAGTGCTTTCTGGATAGTTTCTGGAGAGTATAGACTTAGATTATGATGTCGAGCTGCCATAATGGCTAAGGAAACTATATTCTCATTAATGGACTTGTTAATGGTTATTTCTAAAGAGACTTTACTAGTATCAGATGTAAACGTTGTCACAACCTCCTAACTTTATCATACAGATATGGAAATGTGTCATTAATTTACACAGAATGGTTCTTGGAGCTGTGTAAATTGATGCAGCATCATAATGGCTTTAGGAAATTAAAAGTTGTACATTATCAATTCACTGTTTCAGATTTCTATGTGCAATTTGTAGAGTTTAACAGTTAGAAATAATTGAAACGAGAGTTGGATGAATTGTTCAAAAAAGATGAAATTCAACCTGCACGTCAATGAATTTCAGCTTCACTGTGTGCTCCCTTGCCTTGTTTTTTAGAGGTACGCGAGCCTTTCACCAGAGGCTTCTGTTTCTTTCATGCAGGACAGCAACAGAGAAGACCTCCATGAAATCAGATCTTTATGCAGCTCCAATGAGGAAATCCTGCTTTATGCTGCCCCTGCTCAAGCTGGGTCGCTTCTAGATGTGACTGTGGGAGCCATCTGAATGAATCCACGTGGACATGCTGCTTACTGCTGAGTGTGCAGAAGTGGGGAGGGAAAAGAAAGTGAAGCTATCCTGACGATAGCTAAGAGGAAGGTAGAGTGTCTTTGTTTTTTAAATATAAAGCAAATAGGATAATGTAGGGTGATATTCTTTTAATTATTCTCTCACAAAGTGTGAAACTTTGAGATAAGATTATTGAAAAGTATTTGAATATTTCAAGGTTTGGTGGATATTTGAAGGAAATAGCATTTCTAAGGTCTGAAGCATTTCAGCAAATCTTTTGCCATACTTGAGTGCACTTGCACACTTCAAAATCCATTTTTATTTTCTCAGTCCTACTGTGTTTCTTAAGAAAAGCTTTACTGCTTTTCTTTTGACTAGAGAAGGAATTCTAAAGAAAAGCTGTTTTTAATATTGCCTGCCTGTATTCATGTGCCCTCAAGAGCCCTGCATTGCTTTTAAGGTACTGACAAATGTATAGAATTAAGTGTTTTAAATACTTATCTCTAATGAGAAGAAACATGCAAATCTCTGAGGTTGGCATCCACTGCTCTTATTAAAGGCCATTTATTAGAATTCCTCCATGAGCCAGGAAAGAAACCTGAAAGAATTCAGAAATACCATATCCTCCTTTGGTGTTAGAGCTGTGATGGGGTAGCTAGCTCTGTTCTCAGTTCCCTATGGACTGAAGAAAAATGCTTGCTCTTGCTCTYGGCTGTTGGGATGTTTTGTAGGGAGTTGCCAAGCCTTGCAGGTTTTTGACAGTGGGTAATGTGTTTTGTAAGGTCTGTAATGATTACCTGGCTTGCTGTGAGAATTTGGAAGTGAAACATAAACGTTTTCTGTGCCATGTTGACTTCAATGTTCACAAAGGTAGTTCTCTCTCGCTTTCTCATCCATACTGATTTCATGTGACTTATGTTGCAGTCTGTGCAAGGCTATAGAAYTGGCCACCAACGCATCTCGGTCTCTCTGTTACCCTTCTCACCTGCTTCCAATTTCCCTTTAGGAAGCTGCTTCCTATTCCCACCTCAGGGTTCTGATCACAAGGATCCCAGTCTGTCCAGAGCTCTGTTTTGCCGAAGAAACCCTTGGCTGCACACATCACTTGCTGCCTTGGTGTTTCTTGTTAATATGCAGCGGCAGGTTAGTACCTCTAGATAACCTTGATAAATTAAAAATTGGCCCATCAATATTCTATCAGCCTACTCTGTTTATCCAAATATCTGACATCCTTTCTTGCAGAGCGGAGCTAAAAAGGCACCACAGAAGTAAATGGAATAAAAACTGCATATTTTCCCTTTAAATAGAAATTAAATCAGTCTGCTTGTAATGTCMGCTTGAACACCTTAGTTTAGTAACAGTGAAATAATATACACTGGCAGATGTGGTATTACAAAATGTTTTCGTTACGCAGTTGTTTTTGGAATACAGTGAACAGCTAATTCCACATTTCCTCAGGAAAACTTGGAAAAGGCAGGTTTGGTGTGCCATTTTTTTGCCTTACTGCTGAGCCCTGCTGTGTCTTCTATGTCWTGTTTTAAATGTAGAGAGCTTTAAAACATGCACAGAGATGGGGGCCAGGGGGAATTTCCCTCGATTTCATGTTTTAGCATATCAAAACCTACATGATTGTACAGATCACCTCTGCATTCGTCTTTTTTTTTCTTCAATGCCTTGGCAGTTTAGAAATGCTCCAACATCCCTCTTTGTTCACAGAGCGGCACTTGCACCGTAACMGTCTCATTCAGTTCATCAACTGATCTTTCAAGCCAGAAGACTCGACTCAAACCAGGCTTTGTGCCTTTGTGCCCATCAGCTGGTTTGGGAAGTTACAGTATCAGGCATTTATTCAAAGGGCATGACAGTGTTGCTGTATTTAGAACAAAAATATAAGAGCACTTTGCCTCTAAGGACAGGCTTAATCTCACCTGACCGATGTTTTCAAAAGTCGCAGTGCGTTTTGGATACCATAAATAGTTCTGATTTTCAGTAGTCAGCTTTGTAAATGAAAATGCTTATCATGTCCCTCTGAACATTACAGAAGTGAAGGCGTGAAACATCACTTTCTTTTCCTGAGGAATCCTGAAGCTACAGGACATTCTGTGAAATGTTCATAAACACGTTTTTAATTTAAGATAGTTGAAATTATTTCAGCATTGCCAAACCTAAAAAGAGAACCTAATGTGATTTCATTTTGCATTAAACAAAATGCTTAAACATAATCTCATGGATGTGCCATTTTAAGAGTTTAAATTTTAAAAGGAAAAATATTGCTTTAAATAAAAAACCAGAAAAAAGAAGGTGGCCTAAAAGATTGTTAAGAGGTTAGTTCCCTAAAAAATTTTATTCTTCCTTCTTTTGTAAATTTTGCATCTGATTGGAGAAATGAATTATCTGCACAGTTGTAATGGCTTAGTTAATCTGATAAACTAATTCAAGCAAGTACCTTCTATATTCCTAGACTGCTTTTGAGACTCTGCCTGTATTTGAGTTTAACATAGCCTTGCAACAGACATCCAACAAAATATGGAAAATGGAGTCAATGAAAACAGCTTCTAATGAAGTCCTCAAAAAAACTGAAAATTTACCTTGAAATAATATGCAAAGGAATCAACTTTTTATTCTAGAAAATCTCAGAGATTCTGAATTTTGCAGTAGTATACGAGTATCCATGTTACCAACATTTAAGGCTTTTTCTTCATTTTTATCCTGTAACTTACAAATTGATGCTTAGCAACTCCTCAGAGAATTTTTAAACTGCACAACTTGAGTATGATTAATGTCCTGTGTTTCTCATTGATTCTTGAGCTGTTCTTGCCTTCTTTTCCTGCCTGCCCCTAGGGCAGTTATTTTAAAATTAAATAAGTCTAAGCTGGGTTTAATTAAATCCTGCCAAAATTCAAGAGTCTGTCTTGTCTTAAAAGCTAAGTACAATTGCTGCTAATTTTAAAGACGGAGAAGAAACGCGTCAGTGAATTAGCATTTCTCCTGTGGGCGAGTAGGACAAAGAAGCAAGGGACTGATGTGCAAACTTCATCTTAGCAAGTTCTTGCACTGTTATGTCCAATAAATATTTGTCTGTCATCCCTTCGAAGGGTGTTGGGAGGTCAAAATATAGTACCTTTTAAGATCAATGTTAAGTTAATTATGCAACTTGTGTAGTGAAGCATAGTTCGATAATGTGCCTGTCTTTGTTTTTAGAAACTTTGTGTATAGAAAGAAGTAAAGAATCTTTCCCAAGTGTGGTCTCTCCAGAGGGAAAGAACAGAAGGAGGTATAAAGGTCGTCAGACGTTTTTGTTATTTGTTTTTAATACAAATAATCCTCTGTGCCATATCAGCAGCCTCTTCTAGGGGCAAAGTTTTATAGCAATGTTGGAGGAGGAGAATGAGGCTTAGGAAGAGGCAGAGAGAGATCCTTAGTCATCAGAACCACGTGAAAGCCCATGGGTTAGTGGGAGTGAAGCAGGAATGACCTAACGATAGATCCATGGTATGGAGCAGTTTCACCTCAAAGGCAGTGTAACGTTTCTTCAGCTCTAAAAGACTTTTACTGTTTGTACTTGAGCTGATTTTGCTTTATTGGTTTCACTGTAATCGAAGCAGGAATCTAAAGGAAGAATAACCTATTACTAAAAGGCTTTTTATCAGTTACTGCCTTCTAAAGCAGAAGGAAAAAAAAAAAGTGCCTATTTCAGAATAGGTCATCTGTGTTCACAGTCTGTATGGATCTTCACTGGATTTTCAGAATCTCTCTTAAACTTTCAAAAATGTTGAGCAAATTGTAAGTTGGGATCCTTCTTGATGTGCTGTGGGACGTAAGTAGGTCCTTGCTAGAGAAAGAACAGGAACGTTTGGATGTCATTACTAATACAGCGCAAGACAAAATGTTTAAGAATTTATAGTCTCCTTCAGATATAATCAGTGTGTTTTTTTGGCTTATATTTTTAAAAATACTCTCTTACTCTGACTATGCACAGAAAATATTCTTCCACAAACTAGAACTTCTTCAAGGTAAGTGGTGAAAATGGTGTCATATTTTACTTCTTAGCTAAATAGAGGTCTAACAGGTGAATCATTATAACTTATTCCTTGTATAATGATATTTCTGTTCTATGATTTATATTTAGATCAAATAATCTCTTTTATTTTTATACGGTATGAGCTTATTGGATAAGCAGAAACAGAGTAAATCATTTACGTCATTTTAGTATGTATTAAAAATGGCCAAATTATTTTTTTCTTCTAGACTTTCAGCAAGCTTAAAAGAACTTTAGCAAAGACAAGAGCATTTTAATTGTAGCTGCTGAGAAAAAAAAGAAAATGGCCTGAACTAAAGAGGTATTAATTTCTGCTGTACTTTCAGTTTCCACTGGCCAGGGAGGTGATTGCGTCTTAGAATTAATGCCCAAAAAGGGAGTTCTTAAAACAAGCGTAATAAATATTTCACATCTCTTCTTGTGGCTGGATATACACCCATCATGATATAGGGAGAAGGGTGTCCTTCCACCTTGACAGGTGCAAATTGTATCCCATTTTACATCTGTTTATAAAATACCTTACATTTGGGGATCTTTGTGCTTTGTGAGGGGTCTTTAGCTTTTCCACTTACGTGGAACAAAATATTTGGCAGCTAAGTGTTTTGGTGGGTGGCCACATCTGTAAAAGATACAAATTAATGAAATTTCCTTGCCTTCTACAAAGTTCTGGTTTATGGTATAATTAAATTCTATCATTCACTGAAAACAGTACTATCCAGTGGGATAAATGGCAGAGATTTCTTTCTCGTGGACATAGTGGGATACCAATATAAGGCCAATATAGTGTTTTGCTTTCTTTTTTTTTTCTCTTATGTGACTTAATCCATATCTAAATTAACACATTTCCAGTGAAAAACCCTGCAAAGGAGAAGACTATAAATATTGTACTTCACTTTCGAAGCTTTATTAAAACAGGCTATTAGCCGGAATATCGCACGTGCCTTTGCAGATTCCAACCTATGTGTGTGAAGTCAAGCACAATTTTGGAATAAACAGAGGAAAGCAAGGTTTGTTTTAACACCTTTGTTCTCATAAGTTTCCTTTTTATGAGGACCTTACGAACCACTGTCTATCTGGAGCCTCTTTCTTTGGCAGGTCAGAGGGGGATCTCTGCAGACCTGGTGGCTGGTCTGGGTACTGGAGTGCATGAAGAGCCCCAGCATGGGGCTTGGGATCCCTGACCTCGGCTCCCAGCACCTCCTTCAGTCTGGCTCAGCAGGTGGAGTGCAGGCAACTCCTCAGCAATTTAAACTTTCTAAATACTGATTGTGAGTACTGAAAATCATCAGACCATTAACGTGATAACGGCTAAACAGGTAATTGTAGCCACTCTGTGCTGGCAAAAATTACTGGTGACTTTTATTTTTAAAAGGAAAAAAATCTAACAGCAAAAACTTCTTTCTGGGATATGAAAAATATTCCTGTGCTGCAATGTTGTATTGTACATATTTTTCCGCTGCAATGATAGAGCTAGCCAAAAAGCATTGAAAAAAGATCTGCAATTAGCTCCAGCTATATAAGTATAAATCCATATGTTAGCCTTTAAAAAAGAGCTATTTTATGTTAAATGCATTAAAACTTTCTCATTAAAAACTGAGCACCCGTGGATTAGTTTGACAGAGAAAAACTTCTGGAGCATTTGCTTAGATTTGGCCTAGTGTGGTCCCTGCAAGAGCATTACTGCCAGTTATTCCACCCAGCCTAATCACAGCCTTGGAGCTCAGGGTCATTTGAACAGCAGATGATGAATTAGGCTCCTTTGAACTGTGGCTTGTGGGTGAAGTCCCACTGTGTGGTTACTCTGAGTCTCAGCAGAATTCAAGGATTAAGCCTTATCCATCCTCAAACTGGCCTAGTTCAGGTTGGAAGCATTTCTTAAAATCATTTAGGGATATCTATGAATGAATGTGAGTCAGTTTAGTGAAAATACATATGCTTGTAACTTGAGTTAATACTGCAATGATGCAAGGTTGAGTAAGGATATTAAGTCTCCCTAATGTAAGCAGCTTATCAGAAATGTTCACAAATATACCGATCAAATTCAGCTTATGAGGCCTAAGATTTTTCATTCTGTTGTGCAAAATCATGAGAGGCTCTGCTTTGTTTTTTTTTGTTCATGCCAAAATAATCCCCCAAAGCATCCATAAGTGCCTCTTCCTCTGAAAGGGTAGACACTGAAAGGGCAGGTGTGTGTGATGAAGGATGCTAAAATATGAATAGAAGGTACAATTATAGCAATTCTATTCTGTTGAAGCAAAGTTCTCCATATTATCCTGAATTTCTGAGCTCTTCCCAAAAGCTGCAATACTGAACACAATTTTTTGTTGATTTTCTTTTGAAGCTACTTAGATCATGAGTTACATTATCTGATCAACTGAGTTAACTGCATGTTGGGTTCTCCACAGTTCAGCCCCATTGTGGAGTTAATGGAACTGCCTGATATGCTGCTTCATTTGTTTGAGGAAGATATTATTTTGCTTCTTTATTAGAAGCAAGTGTGCAATGAGGGAAAAAAAGAAGCGATAACATTGAATAAATACTTACAGTAGTTTTTTATAAATAAATTCTATCACATTTTGACTAATATTCCTTTCATTCTTTGTCTGGTTAATTTTTCTTAGTGTTTGCTTGTACCTTTACTTTCTCTGCCTTGTTTTCTCTAAAATGTCAGTAAGAGTAGTTGTATTGCCATAAACACCTTAAAATGCCTGCTGAAGCATATAAAAATGAGTTCTGTTATGAGGAATATTGTACTTCATATCCCATGGATACTGCAATTAAGATGCTTTTTTTTCCAAATCTATTTATAGTTCCTAGATCATCTGAAATCTTTATGAAATTGTTTAGTACCCATGGTTACCAAAGACACTTCATAAACTAACACAATCCTTGTGCTATGTGGTATATCAGCAGGTTTCTCTTTTCCTTGCAATATTTTTCTTGTACAAATCCTCACAGTTATAATTAATAACCCCCGAATTATTCATCTAAATTATGTTTGCAGTAATCTCTGTATAATGTTACTGCTTCTGCATAGCTTTGCCTTTAGCATGGTATCATGGCTCTCTGGAAGCATGAATGGTCTTAGTCTGATTTATAGTCAACAAAAAATGATCTGTCTTTAGGACATACCATTTCTGAGAAGATAAAAGGGCTGGAGAACTTTTTGACTAAATCTAAAGTAGAAGCTCCACCTAAGCCACACTGCACAAATCAAACTTCTGATTTACTTTCCTTTTCTATAGCAAATGTATCAGTTGCTGTAAAGTGAAATGTAAGTGTAGCAGTTGTTGAAAGCAGGAAATATTGCAGCTGTAGTAGTTGTGTAGCTGTCCTGTGATACTCCCTCATCTTTCACACCTTCCTTATGTGTCGTTCTGTGCACTGATGTCCATGCAGCGTGTGAGCCTCAGGCTGGGATGCTTCTCTGGGACGTGGAGATGTGAGTATCCATCAAAAGTTTTTACACTATAAAAGAATTCCAGGTGAGGGGAAGCAAACTCACGTAATCAGCATAATATCATGAAATTAAAACTGTTCTTTCTCTGTCCTTCTCTTTCTCTCTTATTTTCTGTCTCCTTTTTAATGCATTAAACCGCTCCATTCTTTCTTTTGTCCTTCTCCTTTGCTGACCCTGATGTCTATCATATACATATATAAAAACTGTCTGACGGTATTATGAGGTATAGTTAGAAAAATGAATATTTACCAACTGTGTTAGGTTTTATTTATTATTTTAGCTCCTCTTCTGTTTTTCTCTGACTGTTTCCCCATAAGTACCATGTATATCTAATAAAGTCAAGTAGCAAAAGTCAATTTGAAACCCGTATGTGTGAGTAATTAGTGCATATAGTTGTACTGCCAACAGAAGTGGGTAATATTTTGGCACGAATGGGCAGTTACAACAACTGGACATTTGGGTCTCTTTTGTGTAATAATGGTGCCCTGTGCATTTTCTGCTTTTCTGGCTGACTACAACTTGAAGCAAAACCTCAGCTAACTCAGGCAATCTATTTGATCCCAATTTACTCGCTAAGGAAAAACGAAAGAAAGAGTAAAATATTCGGGGAAACACATTTCGGATGTAAGGTTATATCCTCGCAAGCTTGTATTGTTTTCCCTTATAATCACTCTAGTTATTTTTAAACAAAAGCTTACAGGAATCCATTCAATTCACAGGAGAGCTGCAAAATTGTAATGTGTACATTTGTACACACCGCTTGCTGTGGTACTGCTGTTTATCTCCCCCTTTGAGATGTGTATGTTATATAGTAAAAACTGGAAATAAGAAATATTTCTGAAATGCCTATTGGTCTTAATAGATTTCTGGGGAGGGGGAAAGTAAATATTAAACAGTATATCTGTAATGTTATCCGTACAGCATAGATCCCTATTTCAATTCTGCAGCCTTTCCTAAGCGGTGTAATTGAGGCTGATAGGTGAAATGCTATAATAGATAGGAAATAATTTACTTCTCACAGCAGCTGTCATTTATGTTACCTTTAGGTGCTGGGAGGGACTGAGGTAACGATGGGTGCTTAGGGACTATGCAGGAGGCCCCAGTTTGGCCTTCTCCGCAGCCCAGCACGTCCCGGGGTGTYGCTGCACCCACGCGAGTCCCTTTGCAAGGACTGTGCAGAACAGCTTCTGTCATGAAGGACTAAACAAGCGCCCACGGTGTCTGTATAGGGTTGCTGAGGAACAGAGAGACTGTTATAGCTTATGTTGCAAACCTCCTTATATCTAGGGAAAAAAAAGGGGGATTTTCCCTTCTCTTTTTAACTTGGCCTTTGGTGCTTAACATGCTTGGCAGAGGTAAGGCATGGAAAGGCTGTCTGTGGGTGGAACATATCAAACATCTTGAGAAATAAGATGCCAACAGCTATAAGCTTCAGTTCTGATCTTCTACCTGCCTTGGGAACAGCATGTGAGAGCAGACCAGAGCTGTGAACAGCAGTGTGTGTGAAGTGCCTAAGCAGAGCATTAGGCTGCCTTCCTAGTCCGCTCTTCCCAATGCGCTTGTGCCACCCAGTTCACTGTGACCAGGCACTGAAATCGCTGCTCGCTCTGTCCCATTACAGGCCCCACACGTTAACACTGCCTGTAGCAGCTGCTGTGCAATTTAGGAAGTTACTTTTCACTTCTTTCCAGCTAAATCTTTCTTCACAAACTCCAATTCTAGGTTATCCTAAGCTAGAAGGTTTTTGTGTGTCTGCTTAGGATATGTAATTTCATGACCAAGGTAAGATGACTGAGTTTACATAAGCTGTACGTACAATCTCATAAAAGAGATGATAAATTGGAAGAGAAGTGAACGATGCCCACTTTGAATATGAGTTTTTGGATCTATAGTGATTAGTGTGTTCAAATCTATGTAACCAGTGTAATTTACTAGTGAATAAATCAACAGCTGACATCTAAGGTGAATCTGTAAACTTTGTATAAATGATGTTGTGAATAGTAACAGGAGCAACTCTGTTTATTTGCAACACTGMACAAATAATTCTTTTTTTCTTGGTGACTTTGGTCTCTCCTTTATCATTGTGAGGTATGTAGAAATCCTTCAAGAACATTGTCCTCAGGACTGGAAAGCTTTAAATCTCTGGCAATCATTTTGCCATTGTAATTGGAGAGTAAGAGAAAGAACCTAACAAAAGACAGACTCTGAATCAGAAGATAAGGTACTATCAGATATAGTTAAACAGCAAGTCTAGCACAGATTAGCTGTGAACAATTTCTTGGCCTGTCATCTCCTCTGTAGCCTGCTTGTCAAGGTAAGGTGTTTTATCATCTTTCAGGTAATACTGATTTTTATCTTTTCCCTGAATGTCTAATCTTGAATTATTTCTTTGTATTCAGTTCTAATTAAGATTTGTTACAGTCTGATAAGCTTCCAGGAATGCATAGAGAGCACACTGTACAAAACAGAGCTCTTCTTCGATCCCACTGCAGTGTTTGTTCTCTTTATTTCCTTTTTGCCACCTGAATGAACTGATCATGACTGCATTTTTTAACCATTTTATAAATTTTATTTCAATTTTTACATTTTTCTAATGTAGAAAACAGAGTATAAGGATTTATATGAAGGTCTTAGAATGAGTCAACTATTGGCTTGCTTCTCTGCAGCAGAAGGCTGTGGTTTCCATTTCCACTTTGTGTACTAGGCTCATACCCAATGCTTGGCACTGTATCTCTGTGACAGGGAGTGTTTCATTACAGGAGATGTCATCCAGAAGATGACATGATGAACTCGACTTTATCATTTCTCCATCTGGAAGCAAAACCCCCAAGGAGTACTTCAGAAAGAGCAGAAGTTTACCTTAGGGCCCTGCCAATCCAGTTGGCAAAGCAAATCCAGTTCCTGTGGTATTGTGAGTAGGAGATGTTGTTCAGTACAATGCAACCATGTTTCTGCACCATCATTGTCTACACAATTTTCATCGTTGCACTGTATCACTGGAGACATCTGTAAACAAGATTTCAATTAACASAGCAGGATTTT